TAATATAAACATATTTAATTACAATTGATGAGCGATAAACTGTTCAAGAATGACTTAACCCCTTCCACAAGTCAAAGGGAGAGGAACTTGGGGCAGGCTGCGGCCTCTTGTGTTGCCTTTCTCACCCTGCCAACATCGACCCCCCCCCCTCGGAAACTGGAGATTCCTCAGCTCCTGGAGGACATCCCCTCCAAGAAGGAATGTTCTAGATAAGGATGTATCAAGATCCAAGTGTCCAGTTCAGGCTAACCTGGAGTGCTTAACTACAGGGTCTCCCACAGGTGAAACAAGACTGCCTCTAGCCCTTTCCTTATATCTTTTCAGGGTGCAGGCTTGTCTTCTAACAGATAACGAATAAGCTACTAAGCAATTCTGAGATTTCTCATAATAAATATAATGGTAAACTTACTTGGGAGGTGATGACTGGGATCCTGCCCACATAGGAGAGTATTGTCATAATTCTGGAATCCAGACGTTAATATTTGCACATGTGTATGTGAAACAGGTCACTCCCTATTCAAACCCTCTTGAGATGGCCCAAAAATGACAGATGCAGATGCAGAATCAGGGTGAAACCACTCTTAGTAAATGAGAAAAGGAGACAGAGAGATAATACAGCAGATAAAGCAGTTGCCTTGCATGCAACTGACCAGGGATCAACCCCTTTGCACCCCACATGACCCCCAAGTCCACCAGGAATGATCCCAGAGCCAGAAGTAAGCCCTGAGCAAAGCTGGGTGTAGCCACCAAACAAACATATAAACCAAAAAATTAGGACCATACAGACACACTCCTATTACATAAAGAACTCAATCCTTATCATCTGCAGCTGCCACCATAAATGGTGGCATTTATTCAAAAGCTGTGAAAAGCATGTTTTGAGCTGCAAGTCTGTGCTCCCCCCAATTTGCCCCCCCTCCTCACACACACAAATTCATATGCTAAACCCCTAATCCCCAGTGTGATGGTGCCTTCAGCAAATTTAGAAAGGTCATGAAATTGGATCCCTGGTGGTATCACTATAAAAAGAGAAAGCCAAGAAAGTGCACTCTCTCAGATAGGAAGGCGAGGAAGAGGCATTCCCCCAAACTTGGAGGAAGGCTTGAACCCAAGCTGGACCACTCTGAATCCAACCCTGAACCTCCCAGTCACCAGAACAAGGAGATGCATGGTGTCATTGTTTCTGTCACCCACTTTGTGTCATTCTGCCACCGCAGTTTAAACCGACTAGCCACAACACTAGGTCTCAAGTGCACTGAAATCATTCTTCAGTCAACCCCAAAAAGTTACAAGTTGATCAGAGAGAGAGAGAGAGAGAGAGAGAGAGAGAGATGCCCTGGAGTGGGTTGGAAAATTCACTGTCAAGTTTCCCTTATGTGACAAATGATGAGAAATTACAAATAGCCTCAAATACTGTTTTTACCTCCTGCTGTGGATTTCAAAGTATAAAGCACACATTCTCCTAAAAGCTCAAATGAGTGCTGAAAAAGACGGTTTATTATTCATAAGTAAGCAAGTGTGAGCGACTTTCAGGGAACGACTGACAGGCACACACAAAGCAAAATTAGTGTGAAGATTCAGGACCACATAGCACCCAAGAGAGCACCAGGCACTCTTAATGTGAGAGGTGTCGTATACATTATCCTTTCAGAAAAAATAAAGAAATTTCAATTCCCTAACACGGCAAATCTGCAATGTGAGCAAGAACGATAAGGTACTTTCTGTAGATTAAGCACTCATAATGGAAGCACGGAAAGGACAGCAAGGGAAAGTAGTCAATAAAGCATTTGTTATTTTAAAAGTTACTGTTCTGTCATCAACAGCAAATACTTTTGTGTGTCAAAAGACACAAGCAAGAAAGGCGGGGGGTGGGTTATTACAAAAGAATTTGTAAATCATATATAGGATAAGGGTCTAGTATTCAGAATATAGTAGCAACTTTGCAACCTACAATAAAATAAAAATAACCAAACTGAAAAGTGGGAAAGGTATCTGAATGGATAGTTCACCCAAAAAGCAACACCAAATACCGGCAAGCACATGCAAAGATGCCACATGGCTATATCATTAGGGAAATGCAAATCAAAGCCAAAATGGTACCACTTGACACACAACTGAATGGCTCAAGTCAAAGAGATAAATAATTACAAGTGCTGGGGAGGATAACAAGAAACTGAAACCCTCATCCACTGCTGGCAGGGATATAAATGGCATAGTTAGTCATTGTAGAAAAGGGTTTGGTCATTCCAATTCCATTCTTGGTATATACCTCCCAAAGAATTGAAAATATGCCACACAAAAACTTGTACACAGCTATTCATAGAGGAATTATTCATAATAAGCCAAAAAGTGGAAACAACCCAAATGCCCATTAACTGATGAATGAGTAAACAAAGTATATCATATCCTTACAACAATATTATTTGGCCATAAAACAAGAATAAAATGCTTCAAAAGGATGAGCCTTGAAAACCTCATATTATGTGAAAGAAATTAGTTGAAAGGGACCATCTATCACAGGATACCATTTGGATGAAATGTCAGGAACAGATGAAACTATCGAGGCAGGAAGTAGATGGGTGGCTACCGGGGATGGGAGAAGGGAGACCAAGAGGTAACTGCCATCAAGAACAGGATTTGGGGAGAGTGATAAAACATTATGGAATTAGATAGTGGTGAAGCTACCAATCACTAGTGTTCTGGAGCGATAGCACAGCGGTAGGGCGTTCGCCTTACACGCGGCCAACATGGCCGACCCAAGTTCGATTCCTCCGCCCCTCTCAGAGAGCCTGGCAAGCTACCGAGAGTATTCGATATGCCAAACACAGTAACAACAAAGTCTCCAATGGAGACGTTACTGGGCCCGCTCGAGCAAATTGACGATCAACGGGAGGGCCTTTACCTGTACCTTTACCTTTTAAACTAAAAAAACAATGGCCTGTGCAATTTAAAGTGCTTTAAAAATGTAGGTTCTTGGGTCAGAAAGCTAGTACAGCTGGTCGGGCACTAGCCTTCCATCAGCCAACTAGGGTTTAATCCCCAGCACTTTATTTTTTTATATTTTTTAAAAAAATTTCATTAGTGAAACACCATGAGGTACAGTTGTAGACTTACAAATTTTTGTGCTTAGGTTTCAGTTATACAGTGATCCAGTACCCATCCGTCCACCAGTGCCCATTCTCCATCATTTACATTTTTTAAAAAATTTTTGTCAGTGAAACACCATGAGGTACAGTTGTAGATTTACAAATTTTTGTGCTTGGGTTTCAATTGTACAATGATCAAACACCCATCCCTCCACCAGTGCCCATTATCCACCTCCACGGGTCCCAGTATCCCTCCCCCCCCCCCCCCCCCGCCATTCCCCCGTCCCACCCTGCCTCTGTGGAAGGGTATTCCCTCTTGTTCGCTCTCTCCTATTGGGTGTTGTGGTTTGCAAAAGAGGCACTGAGTGGCAATCATGTTTGGTCTATAGTCTACTTTCAGCATGTTTCTCCCATCCTGGGAGGATCCTCCCAACACCCTTTATTTGGTGCTCCTTTCTCTATCTGAGCTCCCTTTTTCCCTAGAGTGTGTGGCTGGCCTCCAAGCCATGGAGCAAAACTCCTGGTACTAATCTCGGCCACTCTTGTAATCCCCAGCACTTTAAATGGTTGCCAGAGTCACGCCAGGAGTGATCCCTGAATGCAGAGGTAGTAGGAATAAGCCCTGAGCACCAATGAGTATGGTCCCCCATACCAAAAAGAAATTAAAACCAAACAAATAAAATAGCATGTTTTACATTACATGAATTTTCTCATTTTTTTCTCAAGTGCTAGTCTGGATCTGAAGCTTTTTCCCCAGGGCAGCCTGGGCAGCTGTGAAAAGCACTGATTTTCAATTGCTGGGCTGGTTCACAGGTGCAAAATGGTTGCGGACCACCGGTATCAACTGTATAGCTTAGAGTCTCCTCAACCAGGAGATAAGGGAGTGACTGAAGGATGCTAATAGAAGGGGTTTGGATTCGCCACACTTCTGGCCTGATGACAGATGGGGCTCTGATGGAAATGCTGACTGTTGACAGGGACCCAAGCGATATGAGTAATGCACAGACACTCCATGCTACTCTATCACCCAGTTGTACTGGGATTAAATGAGAAAGTCTGAGTATGAATGCCTCAGTGTTAGACAAAGACAGAGCTCCAAATATGCGTGAGTTATTTTTACAGGGACAATCTTAAAGTTAGACAATTTTATCAAAATGGTACGGCAAATGGATGATGGAGCTGGGATTTATGTAGATCTTTCCAAATGATACAATCCTTTACATAGACAATTATAATAGCCAAATATAGAGTAAGTAGTTTTGAGCAGCTATGACCTCAAGGTACTGAGGAGGTCATAATAAACACTGTCAGCCCCAGTGGCAGTACAGCAGGTAGGGCACTTGCCTTGCACTCAGTTACTCCAGGTTTGATCCCAGGTACCACATACAGAATTCTGGGCCCCAGCAGGAGTGACTGTGAGCACAGAGCCAGGAGAATGCTCTAAGCACCACTGGATATGGCCTCAAAAAAAAAAAAAGCAAAAACAAAACAGAACAAAAAATCCTTCACCTTGCTTCTGTCTTTCCCTTGGTCAGAGAAGCAATTTGAAGGCCAATGTGAGAGTTGGCTCAGAGTCCGAATAGAAAGACGCTTTGCTGCAGGGTGCTTGAGTTCACAGCCTACACATTTGCTGACCATTGAATGCAAAGAACTAAGTTACACAAACTTCTGAGGCTACTGAAGCTTCTAAGGCTACTGGAGTAAAGCAAAGCTTTCCTCACTCTCATCTCAGTCTTCCTGTTCTCCTTGGGAACAATCTTTCTTAAAAGCTTTCTTAAACAAAGCTACATGGATAGAGGAAAATGGTGGGATTCGTCCCAGCATGCCCAGCATCAACTTCACCACCAGCCTCCCCCACACACCCTCAACCAGAGGGTTGATGTGCAGATGTGGGACCGCAGAACCCCAGCTTACCTGATCAGGTAGTGGTTGATGATAGTATCATAGTAGCTGTAGTACACAACATTGTTCACATGGCAATACTGGTCATTGTCCTGCCATCTTGTCTGGATGGGCAAAAAGTATCCATAGGCTTCCAGGTGACGGTGATAATCTTCACTGCCCTGTTTCATTGCTGATGTGGCCAAGGAACGGCCATTCCGAGGAAGCAGCTTCAAAACCCAAGAGGCCATCGTTGGATCTGTGGGTGAGGGGTCCTTTAAGAAAAAAAGTCACAGAGGATAAGATGTCTTCCAAACTTTTTATTTTATTTTTACAAAAGAGATTACATTAAATTCGGACATTGGTTTCAGAAGGAAGTTAACTCTTTTCCCTAAACAATAATATTCCTTTTTAATCCTTATAATCTGGATTTAGAAAGCCTGTTTACTTTACCAATGAGACTTTGGCCAAGCAATGGAAACAAGTGAAGCTGCTATTTGGATGTAATTCATGGGAGTTTGAAGCATGTGTAGATGGCGGTTTGCTGCTTCACAGGTTAGTTTCGAGGAGGCAGTTTGATGAAATCCAAAATACTACTGGGGGAATAAAAAGAGAACTCAGACAACCAAAATGAAATATGTTTGGCTGAAAATATTAGCAACTAGGCTATATATTTATTTTTAAACATGTACTTATTCTCTCCTGGGACAAAAGTGATGCCTCATGGAAACAAATTTTTATATAAATTAAACTAAATAAGGGGTCAGAGAGATGTCTCAGAAGGCTGAAGCAAAGGCTGATTGGAAGTCCCTGATTTAATCTTAACACAGGAATGTTCCCTGAGTGTTCCCTCAACAACACCAGGTTGGCACTCCCATGAGACATTTAGATAAATTAAGAAAACCAACAATACAACAATACCAGCTCCATGCACTTTTTCAGTCACATTTAAATATCTGTGGAAACATTCTTACATTGGACCATATTGCACATGCTATTTTGTAATCTCACGTGTGGATCATTATTATTTCAAATATTTCTCTACATCATTTGCAATGTTGAATTGCATTATTTGAAATACTACAATTTGTCAAAATTTCTTTTGCTGCAAATTGAAGATTTGAAGGCTGGGTTGGCAACACCCCCAGTATTCTCAGGAGTTACTCCCAAATCAGTGCTCAGAAGTGGCTCTGGGGATGCTTGGGGAACATTCCATGCTGGAGATCACACCTGGAGCTCCCCCATGCAAAGCACTGCTCCAGCACTTTAAGCCATCTCCCCAGCCCTGGATTTTGTGACTGGAACCAGAGCTCTCTGTAAGTAAATATTCACACACATCCAAGATTATCTCTTCAGGATAAAAACCTAGAAGCAGAATTATTAGACCCCTGGGCAAATGAATTCTGATATAAATTAATGCCCGCTGGAAAGGTGGTACCAATTTATACCTTCCCCAGCAGTGCTAAACAGGCCAATTTTCTTGTCAATTTTTAAATGCTTTGACAATCTGACTGTGTTCTCTCATTTCCATACAAAGTTAATGAAATGTGCTAAATGGAAAGATGACTGCTTCTACTAGCTATGATAGTATAGATAACCATGCTTTTTAAAAAATATTATTGAATCACCATGGATTACAAATTTACTAGGTTATTCAGGATTGCGTTCCAGGCGTACTATGTTCCAACAACAATCACTTCATCACTTCCCGCCACCAAGGTCCCCAACTCCTACCCACATCCTGCCCCTTTGGCCCCCAGACTCCCTCTATGGCAGACACTTATTCTGTGTTTGTACATTTCCTTCTGACTTCACTCAGATCCACCCATGTAGCAGCAAACTGCATAACTTATCTTTTCTTACAGCCAAGTAGTATTCCATTCTGTAAAGGTACCATAGTTTCTTTACCCAGTCATGTGTCTCTGGGTACTTTTGAGAACAATGATGAAAGAAAATGCCCAAATGCACACCAAGACTGAGGTCTTGTGTGAGGAGGCAATGAAGTGTGGCAGGATATACAGGCTGCAGCTCTGAGGATGGAGAACTCGCTGTACTGCAGTGAGCCTCACCCTAGACCCTGCCTTCTCTCCCCAGGATTTCTGCGAACTCACCGCTAGAGAAAGCAAGGATGAAGAGATGGCAGCAGCCCAGAGCTCAGAGGTTGCTGTGTTCATGCTGGGCTGGGAAAATGTACCACAAAGGAAAGGACAACAAAGACCAAACCGCAGAATACAAACACTCACGGATCTCCACGCATCTGCTGATTTCTGAGCCTCACCCACTCAGTTGAGAGACCAGCAGAAAGCTGTTCTCAGGCTAACGCTCTAAAGAGAACAAAGGCATCTATCTCCTCCTGATGAGGAAATAAAACTTAGCTTTCTGGGCAGAAGAAAAGGTGTTCAACCACTTTCCATTTCGACCGAAGACATGTTAGTTACTCCTTTAGAGGGAGGGCAATTTAAATTCACCTAGTGATCTAACCACATGGGCTGATATTTTAGAGTTGGATAGGGGTGGGCTAGTATGTAGATGTAAGGGATATTACTAGAATAGCTGACAAAATTCAAACTTAACTGAACATAATAGCATTGTGTAAATATGAGGTTTCCAAATTTTGATAACTGTATTCTGGTTATGTAAAAAAAAAAATCCTTGTTTTTAAGAAGCACTGCACTGTCCTGTTGTTCATCGATTTTGTTTGAGCAGGCCCAGTAACGTCTCCATTGTGAGACTTGTTGTCACTGTGTTTGGCATATCGAATATGTCATGGGGAGCTTGCCAGGCTTTGCTATGAGGGCAAGATACTCTTTGTAGCTTGCCAGGCACTCCAAGTGGGGTGGAGGAATCGAACTCGGGTCAGCTGCGTGCAAGCCAAATGCCCTACCCACTCTGCTATCGCTCCAGCCCACAAACTAAATAATTTTGAACAAAAAAAGGCAATCTTACTTCACTATCATGTCACATTTTAAAGAAATTACATTGATGTGCATGGAGAACATATAATACCTGTGTGTAAGAAAAATTAATAAAATGGGAAATTTATTAAAAATTCAGTGAATTTATAAAGTAGGTATACAATAACATTCTTCAAATTTGAAATCACAAGTCTTGCTATCCCCAAAAGTTCACTGACACATTCAAAAACCATATCAGAAATTTGCTAATACTACAGAGCACTGGCATCTCTGAAATACAATTATTACTCAATTTGATAGGGTAAGCGACATATTAGTCTTAGTAAAGAATAAGTACAAGATAGGCCAGTGTAAATATTCGGATTGAAGCACAAATAAAAAGATTAAAAATAGATACGTGACACATAAGAAATTACCGTTTTTATGTAAGACATTACCATTTTAAGACCACTTTTTAAATTAAAGTTCTAGATAAACAGGAAAGATGATAAATAAGAAGCAATATTTGAAGAAATACAGAGAGAAAAATTCCCCAAATTGAAACAAGTAAAAATTCAGTTTCAAGATAAACCTGAGCTGAAAATTTTAAAGAAAATTTGAAAAAAATTCTAAATGAAGCAAAAACTTTTACTTTCACACACACACACACACACATAGCCAAAAAAGGAGACTTAATCAATGGAAACAGAAGAAGTCAGAATTCAAAAGAATTATAACTTTTAAGTTAATAAATTATAGAATTATAAAATCCTACATCTAGAAAAATATACTTCAAAAATGGCAGGAAACCATAGTTATAAGCCTGTTCACGAGTGGGCAGGGAGAGGACAGCTAGAGTAGAGAAGGGATCACTAAGAAAATGATGGTTGGAGGAATCGGTCGGGATGGGAGATGTATGCCGAAAACAGATAAAGCACCAAACATGATGACCTCTCAGTATCTGCATTGCAAAACATAATGCCCCAAAGTAGAGAGTATGGGGAATATTGTCTGCCATGGAGGCAGGGGGAGGGTGAAAACGGGGGGTATACAGGGGATACTAGTGGTGGAGAACGTGCAATGGTGAAGGGATAGGTGTTTGATCATTGTGTGATTGTAACTCAGACATGAAAGTTTGTAAATATATCTCACAGTGAATCAATAAAATTGAAAAATATTTTTTTAATGGCAGCAAAATCACGACTTTAAAAAAATTGACAAAATCCATCTCAAGGACATCATTAAAACGAAGGATGATTTGCTTGATCCTCAAAGTAAAATAATGAGGAAAATGAGGAAGACTGAATGAAGTTTATAATGCTGACTACATAAAAAGCAATATAACAATGCTTTACATGTAATTAAAATACCCCACAATAGCTGAAGGATAGGAGAGTAAATTCAGTGATGAAGGTAGTAAATCATCTTAATTTTTTAAATAAATGGTAAATATAAGAGGGCAATTCAACAAAATATATTAGATATCCTACATTATAGTAAAAACTAACACAAATATATTAGTAGCAGAACACTGAAAGAATTTTTCTAAAACTGAGAATCAAACAAGGATGTCTGCAGCTATTATCACTCCTATGAAACACTATATAGTGATTAAAAGATATTTAAATTTTTTTAAATTTTAAAGCAAAAACTTGGTCAGGGAAATAGCTCAAAGTCCTAGAGCACATGCCTTGCATGAGGTAGGTGGTGCTGACTTTGATCCTTTCGACCAAATGGCCTCCAGATCTCCTGCAGGGTGGCCCTGATAACCCCGAGCAACACTAGGCCTTAGCAATACCACATCACTGGCCAAAGCACCACTTGGGAAGCACACAAAAACATTAAAAAAAGTGTCACTTGATGAATCATACATGTGTATAATAACTTACAATAAATTATTAAGAATTAATAAGTTAATTTAGTAGCAGCTGGACACAGATATCATGCTTTAAAATTAACTGCATGTCTGGGGGTTGGAGCAATAGCACAGCAGGTAGGACGTTTGCCTTGCATGCAGCCAACCCAGGTTTGATTCCCAGCATCCCATATGGTCCCCCGGGCACTGCCAGGAGTAATTCCTGAGTGCAGAGCCAGGAGTAACCCCTGTGCATTGCCGAGTGTGACCCAAAAAGCAAAAAAGTAATAATAATAATGAACTGCATTTCTATATAATAATCCTAAATAACTGGATGGTGTACTTTTAAAATAATACCATTTCAGGATACTATAAGCTAAAAATAAGTAACATCAAAAAAACACAAGATAACTAGGTACAAAACTAATAAAAATGTGCAAAAAAAAGTACATTAAAAACTTCAAAAGGCGGACCTGAGCCCCTTCCTCCTTGCCCACCCCCAACGCTGCTCCCCCGGTCTCCTTCC